TGTCAAACTTAAGCTGGGCTCAACATGGTGGGTAGAAGTGTGTGTGTGTGTGTGTGTGTGTGTGTGTGTATTGGTCATGCACCCTGGTTCAGAGGTCAATGTGGTGGGTAGAAGTGTGTGTGTGTGTGTGTGTGTGTGTCTGTGTCTGTCGGTCACGCACCCCGGCATGGCCGTTCTTCGCCTTGCCCTGGCCAAGGGCAACGTGGCAGCCAGCACAGCCTGTGTTCATTGTACATGAGGGGCACCTCTCCACGGGAAGGATTCATTTCCACTCATAGCTTTTCACCGAGTCCCATGAGCTGTTCAGAAGTAAATTTAAAAGCAGTTCACAAAAGAGGACACCCAGGTGGTCAATAAGTATGTTAAAGGTACTTGGAATCAATATTCACTTGGAAACTACACATTAATACCTCGGTGAGATACAACTACACCTCCATCAGAATGGTCAACTTTCGGGGTGGGGTGAGGGTTTGAGATGAACCCAACGTTCCAAGTGATGGCTAGGATGTGGGGCAACGGAGCTCTCACAAATGGCTGTGGAATTTGTGGAAAACGCTAGAACTGCCTTGAAAAACTGTTTTGTTCTGCCGCCTAAAGCGGAACATAGACATCCCCTATGCCCCAACAAGAGTCAACCCACAAAAAATGAGTCCGGGCGTGCACCAAAATGCTTACACAAAAATGTGTGCCGATTCCTTTCATCTGGAATCAACCACATTCCCCTCAGCAGAAGAGTGGACAAGTAAATTCTGTGTTCCTACAACGGGGTACTGTAAATCCAGAAACAACAACAGAAATGCACTGCTGCACCTAACTGGGATGAGTCTCCTAGCATGACCAGAGAAAGAAACAAGATAGACATGCTAATGTGGTTCCATTAGCGTGAAGTTTACAAATAGGTAAAGTTCGTCTAAGGCGAGAGATGTTAGAATACGATTAATGTGAAGGAGATGTTGACCAGAGAAGGGCACAGGCTGATGGAAGTGGTCGAAATGCTCTTTATCTCACTCTGGAATGTAGTTGTGCGGATGTGTAACAACTGAGCACACGCTTCTGACTCGCAGCCCCCCTAGTAAATAGGGGGACAGGTCACTTTAGTTTTCTCCCTTGGAGCATCTGCTTGGTTGGAACTGTGAACCAACACTTGCCCAACATATAGGTGTGTTTATTTTCGTGTGTGTAAGTTACACCCTTCAAAAAGACGTTGGAAAAGTGAACTAAAATCACCCTCCAAAACCTACCTTTATCTGCGCGCTTGTGCTCCTCCTGGGTGCTTCGTGGGTTAGCGCTCTGGGGCACAGGAGGCGAGGGGGCGAGAGAGAAGTTGTTTTCAGCGTTGTGAGCATCTCTCTGGGATCTGCCGAGGGCCAGTGGCCTGGGGAACGTGGAGAAACAGGAATTCAACTTTAATCAAGAGTCATTTGGAGGTCACCCTCAGCAGTCTCCCTCATAGGATTCTCTTCTTTCAAGGGAACCTTCGTCTGGAGATGTAGTCCTTTTAAATGCACTCTCAATAGCAGGTCTGGTGGGCTTTGGTCCTCAGGAGTGGCTGCGAGAGAAACCGCCCAAGCTCTGAAAATACTGGCCCAAGCTGCCCGTGGAGTGGCCGCCTCTACCAGTGACCCCACAGCCACGCACGCCATGCTCGATTCAGCTCGAGACGTGATGGAGGGCTCAGCCATGCTCATTCAAGAAGCCAAGCAGGCCCTGGCTGCACCTGGAGATGCGGAGAGTCAGCAGAGGCTAGCCCAGGTGAGGCCCTGCCTGGGAGGTGTGCCCGCATCCATGTGGACTGCCTTTGGGGCATCCTTTGCCCCTGGCTGTGAGCTCATCCACTCAATGCACTGTCTCCTTTTGTGAGTCTTGCCTACTTGTCTTTGATTCAAAGTGAAATCTGTTTGACTCAAAGCCAACAGATCATTTGGGAGTGGGGGACTTTGAGGAAATCTGCCCTTGGGAGGTTACAGGCCAGGGCATAGCAAGTCTCTTTGGGCTCCATGCTTGCTTGTTTTTACTGCATTCTGCTTCCTAGCTTTAGGCAAGGTAGATATATGCGCTCAGCCCCTTCAAGTTTAGCACCCCCTTGATGACCCCTTCAGTGGATTCTTAACTACCTAGTGAAGCCTCTTGGCTACACACTCCAGGCAAAATCGAGAGGTGGAGCTGGGGAGAGATGGTGTCCATCAAAGGGACTATGGACACTTTATCCTTCCCACGTAGCTAGTACTGAGGAAGACCAACCGCGTGCCACGGAGCTGTGTCGTGGACACACGCAGAGGCAGCCCAGGGGCAGTTCCTGGTTGGTTAGGAGCTGTTCTGAGCACTCTGGGCAGGGGAGGTGGGAGAATGATTGTGCCAGGCAGCTGCTGAGCAGAAATCCACCCCGGGCCTGGCTCAACAGTTAGGCTAGCACGCAAGGCCTACTGCCACCTCGGGGGCCTCAACAGGGCCCTGAAGAAGGAGCGATCTCTTCAGTGCTCTTGGAATTAGGTATTGTTTTAGCACCTGACCTGAGTTTGGGGAGGTCTGTGTCAGGCTCCCAGAGCTGTGTGGGGTGGGGTGGGGGGGTGCTGCATCATGATCAGACCCTTGGCCAAGACAGGATGCACACCCCAAGGAGAGGGGTCATAGCTTTGCTCTTAGCCAGGAGGCCCAAACAAGATGATTCTACATGGCAACCAACGTCAGGCTGATACTGGTGAGCAAGATTCCTCCCTTACGCCTTTGAAGGACGAGGCCCCTGGACTGCGAGGCCAGAATCCCGCCTTTTTCCGCTGTGCATACTGTCACTGCCCATTCCTGGCAGACATACGCCGATGTATATGCAGTGCAAGCCCAGGAGCAGTTTCTTAGGGGCCTGCTCTCTCTCTTTCTCTCTCTCTCTCTCTCTCTCTCTCCCCCATCCCGCGTGCACAGGTGGCCAAGGCTGTCTCCCACTCTCTGAACAACTGTGTGAACTGCCTCCCCGGGCAGAAGGATGTGGACGTGGCCCTGAAGAGCATCGGTGAATCCAGCAAGAAGCTGCTTGTGGATTCGGTGAGAGGCCCTGGGCTTGGGGAGGAGGCCTGGGGACTGGCCTCCAGCCAGGTGTGAGCGCAGTCCCTACAGGGCATGCGTGGTGAAAGGGGGGCTGTTGAAACCCCAGAGAGCGGTTTCTGAGAGGTCACAGGCTTTTGAAACCGGAGGGGTCAGTTTGACCTTGGCCCACACAGGGTTGCCTGATTTGGATCCCACTCCGCAGCAACAGTCTTGCCTTCCCTGTGGGATCTTGCCTTCCCTGTGGGATCTTGCCTTCCCTGTGGGATCACAGAGCAGCTGATCTTTCCCTCAGGGCGCCTCTCTCTTCCTGCCAGTTTGCCTTCTCCTTGTCAAACTTAAGCTGGGCTCAGACCACACAGAGCCATTCGGCCCTGATGGCTGGTGATCCCCACGGAGTCTCTCTTCCCTCCCCGGGGCCTTGTCTCATCCCTGTGGGCAAAGCGGAACTGCTCATGGGGTGTGCTTGCTGTTCCCCGCAGCTCCCTCCCAGCACGAAGCCTTTCCAAGAGGCCCAGAGCGAGCTGAACCAGGCAGCGGCGGATCTGAACCAGTCGGCGGGGGAAGTGGTCCATGCCACCCGGGGCCAAAGCGGGGAGCTGGCCGCCGCCTCCGGAAAGTTCAGTGATGATTTTGATGAATTCCTTGACGCTGGCATTGAGATGGCTGGCCAGGCTCAGGTGGGTGTGGAGGGACCGTCCACCTTGGAGGTTGCCTGGGCAAGTGGGACTAGGGGCGCTGTTTGCAGGTCCCAGTTTGCTGAACTCACGCTGCGTCCCAGGAAGCCCCATGGCCTCCCAGTAAAGGCTTGCCCAGAGATGCTCTCAGCTCTGTGTGCCGTGCATCTTGATGGTGCGGGAGCCCTCTTCCCATGATCCTCCAGCAAAGCCCATCATTTTCCTTAGCTTCCTGGGAGGAAGGGTGGCAGGAGGTGGGCCATGTTTAGGAGAGACTCTTAGAATGCAGTGTAATAGAGCAAAAGATCATGTGATGGAGACTCAATGGGCCCACTTAGGGGACAGTGGCTAAAATGAGTGTCAAAGGATTCAAAATCCTCTCCTTGCGCTGAACAGATTAGCCCCTTGCTTAGACCAAGGGAGCATAGCGTGTCCAGTCTGGTGTCCACGTGAAGAGGTTTCCGGTTTCTTCTTGGCCCAGGAGCTGCTGTGCACTCGGTCCCTAGCAGAGACAGCCAGAGGGCTTGTTGCTCTGTTATCGCCCAAGGGCTGTTTGTAGATAGCAGGACACGTGAGAAATGCCCTGCTCCCGACTCAGGAACTGCTGGGATGTAGTCCGCGCTGAGTATCGAGACGGTGCCAGCCGTTTGTGCCAGGCTGGACGCACAAGGTGTTCGTTTGACCACTCCAGCATTGCTGAGCAAGCTGCCGCGAGAATTGCTGCCTGGGCTGTGTGCCTGTACCTGTGTGCGTGTGTATGTGTGTGCACACGCATACATACACACACACACACACACACACACACAAACTCAGTCTGTTTCTCTCCCTCTCCACGTTCGATGCCTCCACTTGTGAGAAAGCACAGCTCTTGGCTGACACACGTGGGCATGAGTTTCTGCCCTGCTGTGCGTGTCTCTATCTGGGCATCTGTGTGGGGACAGGTAGGCACAGCCACGATGTCTCGACCAGTTAGGCATCTGCAGACGAATGAGGCTTAATGTGATCTCCACCGATAACTCCTTCCGTTTCAGGCTGTTGCTGACAGCTCTCTGAGTGTTCTCCTCCTGGGGATCCCCCCCTGACTGACTCCTTCTACCTTCCAGACCAAAGAAGACCAGATCCAGGTCATTGGGAACCTCAAGAACATCTCCATGGCCTCCAGCAAGCTGTTGTTAGCAGCCAAGTCTCTCTCTGTGGATCCAGGGGCCCCCAATGCGAAAAACCTCCTGGCGGCAGCAGCAAGGTAAGAAGCGGGGTCGTGCTTCTGTGGGGGGGCTGGCAGTGTTCTGGCATCTGGACGGTGAGCTGACCGGCTGCTGTCTTTGCTGATCTTGGACTTGGTGCTGTCCTTTCAGCTGCCCTTTGGCCACCGGAGGGTGGAGTTTAGTGTGATCACATCCTGGTCTCATCAAACAGGCTTATCTTTTTTTAATTTTTATTGGGGGCACATACAACTCTTATCACAATCCATACATACGTCCATTGTATATAACCCATTTGTACATTTGTTACCCTCATCATTCTCAAAACATTTGCTCTCCACTTAAGCCCCTGGCATCAGCTCTTCATTTTTCCCCCTCCCTCCCCGCTGTCCCCTCTTTCCTGAACCCTTGATAATTTATAAATTATTATTCTGTCATCTCTTGCCCTGTCCGACGTCTCCCTTCACCCACTTTTCTGTTGTCTGTCCCCCAGGGAGGAGGTCACATATAGTTCCTTGTAACCGGTTCCCTCTTTCCTACCCACTCTCCCTCTACCTTCCCAGTATCACCACTCACACCACTGGTCCTGAAGGGATCATCCGCCCTGGATTCCCTGTGTTTCCAGTTCCTATCTGTACCGGTGTACATCCTCTGGTGTAGCCAGATTTGCAAGGTAGAATTGGGATCATAATAGTGGCGGGGGGAGGAAGCATTTAGGAGCTAGAGGAAAGTTGTGTGTTTCACCGTTGCTACACTGCACCCTGACTGGCTCGTCTCCTCCTCGTGACCCTTCTGTAAGGGGGTCTCCAGTTGCAAACAGACATATCTTTATGTGCTGTACCTACCAAACACGTCTGTTGGTTTCCCATTTAGCCTTGTCCATGGGGCTTTGCTCAGACCTAAGGTTCCCATTGACTGGTAAACACAGTGCCTTAAACATATGTTTGCTTGTTTGTCTTTTATTGTGCTATATATTTATGAGACTAAATATTAGTCATGCCCACAGGGTGGGAATTCCGCCCGATCTGATCCCACCACACCGTGGCAAAATACACTAAGGGCATGGAACAGAACAGCAAGGGGAACAGAGCAATGAAGTCCCCAGGGATTCTCTGTTGAGTTCGGGAATTCGGTTCTTCTTCCCAGCTTGCCCCCCTGTGGACCCCTAAAATTCAGGCCAGTGTTTCCTCATGGAATCATCAGGCCTTCGTCCATTCACAACATCATCTGCCATCTAATTTGATTTTCTCTGGGAAGCTGCAAAGGTAATTTAGCTGATTAAAAGAGGCGTCGTTTCTATCAGTCAGTGTCATTAATAGTAATGTGTGCCCTTTTTATGTTGTTTATTTTAAGTTGCCCTTTAACCGTATTGGTGAGGAGCAGGCCCTGCCAGAAGAGTGTTTAATTATGACTTGCAGAAAAGTGATGGCGGCTTTAGGTTTAGAATCGACAGAAGTGGGCTTCAACCTTGTTTCTGCTCCTGCTTCTAGTGCGCCCTGAGGGCGCTAGCCCATCTCTCGCAGTATTTTCACTGAGGATGCCTATGAGCACTTTAACTTTCAGACTTACTGTTGAGCTACAGCAACACGGTGGTGTCGTATTGGCAATCAGACAGAATTCAGACATAGACCCATCCAATGTGACCGACCCTTGGTCAACCAAGGACGCAGTCAGTTCCCTGGAGAAAGCATCGTCTTTTTCCACAAATGAAGACTGCAGGAGTTGAACTCCGTACGCCAAAAGAGAGAGCGTGAGGACGTCAAACTGTACTTCACGCCTTACACAAGTGTAACCCAGGATGGACGGGTTAAGCAGGGCCGCCCCAGGAAGGGTCTCCCCAGAGAGAGAAAGAGATCCTTGCCTGCCCCTGGAGTGCTAAGGAAAAGAAGCTAACATCACACCAGAGGCTCTAATTTATTCCTATGAATGCTAAGAAAATAGCAACTTATAGGAGTAATCTGGGGACAGCTTCTAGAACTAGTCAGTCATGGACAGTGGAGACCACACCATAGGCAAGGTGTACAATGTCTGCTGGATCCCAAAATAGCTCCTGCAGAGACTCTTCCTCTCGTGGGTCACTAATGAAGGGTTTCTATTTGCAACTTCACTGGGAATTCTTGTTCATGAATATTTAAAAAAAAAAAAAAGCTTTCTTAAGAGAACTAAAAAAGTACCCCCTGAAGGGTCTATCGAATGAGTACTGGAAACAAGTTAGGGATTTCGCTTAGAAGAAGCTTTCAAACCACCTACCCACCCCTTCCCCCAGGTGAGGTGTGTTTTGGTTGCTGAGCGCCTCTGGGCTGGAGGCACTGGAGCTTAGGCAGGGAGTAAGTGTGTTCCTGGTGACTCTGCCAAGCCTCGGCGCTGACAGTGCCCACAAGCACCTTGTCTGTTGGTCTCACAGAGCTGTGACGGAGAGCATCAACCAGCTCATCACTCTGTGCACCCAGCAAGCTCCTGGCCAGAAAGAGTGTGACAACGCTCTCCGTGAGCTCGAGGTAGGTCCAGAGGAGGGGGGTGGGGCGGGCACAAACAGTTTACACTCAAGAGCCGCCCCAGAGACTGGCCCACTGGCACAGCAGAAGGAAGACCTGGCCATCTATACAGCTTGCAGCCAGGGAAACCCTGTGGAGCCAGCACGGGGGGAGAGGGGGGGGGTCACGGGTCCAAACCTTCTTTACTCATGATAATCCCGCAGTGTAGAACTTGCAAGGGGGTTGGTTCGGTTGCTTCTGTTAGGAGGTCCCGCTGGGACAGATGGTCAATGTACCTAGTTCGAGTCCACCAGAGGTATCTCGAAGGAAGAGCCTGGTGACCTGGTTCTGAAAACTCCGCTATTGAACCCCCTGGGAAGCGCAGTCTTGCTCTGGCCCACGCAGGCTTCCCTGGACTGGGGTCAGGACCGTGCTCCTGTTCTTTGCCTGCAGGATGACGTGCAGGAGCCCTGGTGGCGCAGTGGGCCATGCGTTGGGCTGATTACCAAGCGGTGCCTGGTTCAGACCCACCAGTTGCTCCCCAGGAGAAGGAGGGGGCATCTTGCTCCCATAAAGTTTGATGACCTGAGAAACCTGTGTCGCCATTCTCCTCGGGCCTCCGGGGTTGCTGGGAGCTAGCCGTGACTTGGCGGCAGCAGGGTTTTCCGTGTGTGCTACCGGCCCAGATAAGAACCCTCGCTTCCTGTCTGCGTTGTGTTCTTGTTGTGCAGACCGTGAAGGGGATGCTGGATAACCCTAATGAACCTGTGAGCGACCTCTCCTACTTCGACTGCATTGAGAGTGTGATGGAAAACTCCAAGGTGAGACTGGCTGCCTTATCATTCCGTGAACGTGACTTGTCATCGCAGGTGAAATGCAAGATGTGCTGGGTGGGAGTGAGCAGCTTGTGTGGGTTCAGGCTTCATAAAGCCAGGGACCTGGATCAAACACTCCTGGAAACGAGTGTGCAGCAGAATCAGCCCGAGAGCTTGCTCAGCGCAGATGGCGGCCCTCGCCTCCAGACTAGCTGATTCCGCGGATCGGAAGTGGGGCCCTGAGAGTGGGCATTTCTACCAAGCTCTGGAGTGATGCTTGGCCTCCTAGTCCGGCAACCAGGGCATCAGACCATTTGTTCTCATTGGCTATGCATTAGGAATCACCTGGGAATCACCCCTGGCCTGAGGCTCTTGTTAAAATGTACATTCGGAATCCATCTACCTGGGTGGAATGCAAATTCTCAGTGGGGTTGGGCGAGGGAGGTGCTCTCGTGGGACCATAAGGAACTGGTCCGAGGTCTGACAAGCACAGCCAACCCTTTGTAAACGCTGTCACAAAGCACAAAGCTGTCACATGACTCCTCGCATGCACTTCCCTCACCTGGCATAGCTGAGGAAGGCTCTTCTGTCTTCTTGCTGTCTGCTTATGGCCCGCATGCCCAGGGGCGTATGGGATTCAGAGATTGCAGCCATGTGTGGCCCTCCAGACCCTGACTACTTGGCATAATCCACTTGCCTCGTGGCGGGTGGGACCGCAGTTTGGAGTGGGGAGGTCTAGACGGGCCCCTGAGGGGCTAATAATAAAAGGAGACCATGTGAGCAACACTGATCTGTGGGAATTGAACACAATTGATGAGACTGGAGAGAGGACTGGATTGTGCCCTCAGCTTGGTGGTGCCACTTGGACATGAGCTTTGGGGAGTGCCCGCATTGGTGATGTTAGGAGGGCTCGGTTTGTCTCGGGCTGAGATTTAGAGTTTGTGCTGTCCAGCATGCTGTGCCGAAGAGTTGATGATCTGAGGGGGGGCGGTGTCTAAATTTACTTCAGTCCTCCCCCGCCCCCCAGCAGTAGGAGGCATAGATTAGGAGAGGGGAAAGGAGCGGAGTAAACATTGCCTCTGAGGTGTTACTTTGCAGTGCTTATGTAACCTAGATGATTTTGTATATCAAAGTAACTAAGTAACATATTGCTTTAAGGACTTTACCCTGCTCCCCAATACAAGACCACTTATTGCCAAATGATTGGAAGGCTACATTAGGCTTGGGATTTTGCAATGTCCTAATCTCGCCAAAGGTTTTGTGTTGAACCTCTTTCAAGTTGACCATTTATGACCCAGAAAAATAGAACCGTCAGGCCCATAGAATGCAAAATACCCTATTTTGTGGGTTGATGCCCATGTGACTGTCTGGGTGACCTTGACCTCTCTGGGTTGGGTTCTAGCTGCTAGGATCCTCTTCAGCTATGAAGATAAGTAGCTGTGAAGCAAGAATACCCCACTGACGTCCAACACAAAGGAAATACTCATAACACGTCTGAAACACCCTTCGTTTGTGTTTACATTATTATTTAATACACACGAGCAAGTATCCAAAAGTTCATGGGAAAATTCCATCTTCTGATTCCATGTTTCCCATCAACTTTTTGAAGTCCCCTTGTATACTTCTTATCAGAGACACCTTTGAAATTTACTGCCAGGAAGTAAGTTCATAGTGGGAAGGGTGCATCTTCCCCTTTGTGGGCCTGCGTTCACCTACAGCTCAATATTGGGACTGGGTAGATGTCGACGTTCTGGAAGTTCGGGCAATCCCAGGGAAGGAGGCCTGTTTCTGAGTGTGTCCTTCACTCTGACTTGCAGATGAGGTAGCACTGGTGCATATGGTTCTTATTTAGCCTTACTTTAGCACGAACGCAAGGAGTCCTGGTGGGGCTGGCTTAGGCGTTGGGTTCCTAAGGGCAAGGTCAACAGGTTGAAACCCACCAGCCACTCCGTCGCAGGAGCAATGTAAGGCTCTCAGTTGCCGGAAAGGTGTACAGGCTAGGAGAGCTGAGAGAGCAGTTCTACTCTGCCCTATAGGGTTGTTTTGGGTCAGGACTGGCTGGAAGGTATTGGGTGCAGAACAAGAAAAGGCTTGAGCCTTCTCCGTGGTTTAAAGGCTTCGTGCGCAGCAAGTGATGAAGGTATTGTTAGTGCGGACTTGGTCCGTTGTTTCAAAGTGAGGCTAAATTCCCGCCAACCTTCAAGGACAGATAAGAGTTGTCTGTACGTAACCCTGGGACAGACTGCCTGTAAAAGGTTCTCAGTTTGGGCCATAAGAATTTTATTTGACTGATCTGTGTGTCTTAACTCTATTCCTGGTGTTAGAGACTATTCAAAAGAAAAATTCAAACTTGCATTGCTCATTTCTCTTTGTGGAATGGAAATGGTATCGTTCTCTTGAACCTCTTCTTCACTCAAGCCAAGGAGATAAGCAGCACATGTTGTAAAGGCAATCGCCTTGAATGTTGGCATTAGAAGCACAGCCCCCATGGCCCCATGGTCTGCAGCCACACTGGATGGAGACGGTCTGCCTGTTTGGATTGCAGGTGCTGGGAGAGTCGATGGCAGGCATTTCCCAGAACGCCAAGACGGGGGACCTCCCTGCCTTTGGGGAGTGTGTGGGGGTCGCCTCCAAGGCCCTCTGTGGACTCACAGAGGCTGCAGCCCAGGTAAGTGCCCTGTTCCCCATCATGAGCATGAGCGTAACCGGGGCCTCGGACCGCATCTCACCATAGCAGAAGCCAAGTTCAAGGCAAGAGCCCCTGTGCGGCTGGGACTTTCAAATAAAATATCAGCCTGTTACCGTGTGTGTGTGTGTGTGTGTGTGTGTGTGTGTGTGTGTGTGTGTGTGACTCTTGTCATGCCCTTGTCTGCCTGCATATACCATTGGGGCCAGGCTCACATCCTTCCCCTCCAATCTGAAGGGAAATAAAGTTGAAATCCTTGCTCACAAATTCTCTTTACCCCTATCATTTGGCTCACGCATCCAGAGAGTTTTAAATAGAAGACCTTCTCGTGTAGCCTTCCTGCCGGCTTAGGGACCAAGGACTGTGTTGTTTTGCTTTGGCACCACCGGAGATGTATTATTGCCATAGTTTAGAATTAGCTGGCACATTCATTTTCACCCATTGCTGAGTTAAGATCCCCCCTGCCATGAGAAAGCTTGGCCTGAGCAGCAAGGCCGTGGTGGGCCACAGCTCTCCTCCGCCCATGTCACATGAGACGGCTCCCGGAGGGTTGGCTGACCCGGCAGCTCCACACCTTCCATCTGTACCTGTTGGTTTTTGGCTCTTCCTTTACCACCGAGGTATGTCTTCATGCCTAGGCTGGTTACCCTCATGGTCACAAAAGGGCTGCCACCGGCCATCAGCACCACCTCCTTCCTGCTCAAGTACTTCAGGAAAGCCTCCTGAGATTCTCTCCGAAGCCCAGGATCCTTTCTCCCAGGATCTTGCCACGGATTTCTGGTGGCACGACACGGGCTTGTTCACCTCTAAACCCTTCTAGTGTTGATGAGAGATGCTGATTTCACCAACCAACTTGTTACAAGGATTGCCCAAGCATGACTGTTGCCCACCTGCCCTCTGCAGGGCAGATGCCCATCACAGGCCCACCTGAGCGTCTGGAGCCTGAGCCT